TGGAAGACGAAACATATGTTGAAATTTCATATGATATTTTAAGCTGATAATAAATTAAACTATAAATGGAGCTGAAATGGCGGTCTGGTACATCACTTCTGAAAGCAGGCTCTTGGGATGTTTTTTTTTGTTTAGGGTCTTCAAGTCCAAACCCCTTGTAAAAGCAGAACCAACCCCAACTCAATCATCCCAGCCAGGATGGGACTTAAAAACTTCTAAGGTTGGCAGTTCTACCACCTTGCTGGGTAACTCATTCCAATGCTTCATTCTGTATGGCTACGTCTACACTGGCATGATTTTCCGGAAATGCTTTTAAAGGAAAAGTTTTCCGTGAAAAGCATTTTCGGAAAAGTGCATCTAGATTGGCAGGATGCTTTTCCAGAAAAGCACTTTTTCCGGAAAAGCGTCCATGGCCAATCTAGACGCGCTTTTCCGCAAAAAAGCCCCGATCGTCATTTTCGCGATCGGGGCTTTTTTGCAGAAAACAGTACTGTGCTGTCTACACTGGCCCTTTTCCCGAACAGTTTTCTGGAAAAAGACTTTTGCCTGAACGGGAGCAGCATAGTTTTTCTGGAAAAGCACTGGTGATTTTACATTAGATCGTCAGTGCTTTTCCGGAAATTCAAGCGGCCAGTGTAGACAGCTGGCAAGTTTTTTCCGGAAAAGCGGCTGATTTTCCGGAATAACTTGCCAGTGAAGAGACAGCCTATGTGTACACAAGCATGCACTCCTTTCTTTTCTTCTCTCACTGGTTATGGTACATGCAAGATCTAATATTGTCCACACTAAATATGTGTGATGCTGTTGCAAAAAAGCAAACATGATTCTGGGATGCATTAACAGGTGTATTGTGAGCAGGACACGAGAAGTCATTCTTCCGCTCTACTCTGCACTGATTAGGCCTCATTGGGAGTATTGCGTCCAGTTCTGGGCATCACATTTCAGGAAAGATATGGAGAAATTGGAGAGGGTCCAGAGAAGAGCAATAAAAATGATTCAAGGTCTAGAAAACATGACCTATGGGGGAAGACTGAAAGAATTGGGTTTGTTTAGTTTGGAAAAGAGAAGGCTGAGAGGGGACATGACAGCAGCTTTCAAGTACCTAAAAGAGTGTTACAAGGAGGAGGGAGAAAAATTGTTCTCCTTGGCCTCTGCCGATAGGACAAGAAGCAATGGGCTTATTCTGCAGGAAGGAAGGATAAGGTTGGACATTAGGAAAAACTTCCTCACTGTCAGGGTGGTTAAACACTGAAATAAATTGCTCAGGGAGCTTAAATATCTCCAGTGATGGAGATTCCACCAGAGCAGGTTAGATAGGCATCTATTAGGGATGATCTAGATGGTGCTTGGTCCTGCCGTGAGGGCAGGGGACTGGACTCGATGACCTCTTGAGATCCCTTCTGGTTCTAGTGTTCTGGGATTCTAGCTCAAGCAATGAAATGTGGAAATTTATTTCACTAGAAGCTTATGGCATTTGTTACTGAAGTGTGAAACCAGAACCAGAAACACTTGCCAGGATTGTGGTTCTGTGTCAGATTTTGCCACATTTTACGCGAATGGAGTTGTACCTCACTCCATGAGGAGGCTCTCTATAATTAACATGACGAGTAAGGTAATTCTCAAATAAGAGGACAAGTGGCAGCATCTGTCCCTCTGTACTCATAATTAGCATGATCACTTAAAAAAGGGACATAATACTGCTGTATGGTGACTCTATTTAGGCAAAGAAATGGATATGGTTTCTATTCATCTGAAAAGGATTGAAACAGGGCAGAGTCTGAAAGTGCTACTTCATAGATTGTACAAAATAAATCTTTGGCACTGTCCATATTGCAGGCTGCATCTGGACTGGCAAGATTTTGCGCAGAAGCGTCCTGCCAATGTAGACACGCTTTTGCGCAAAAGTGCATTGTTCTTATGATGACTCCCGGACCAATCCAGATGCTCTCTTGCGCAAATACTTTTAACGGAAAAACTTTTCCATTTGAAGTATTTGCGCAAAATCATGCCAGTCTAGACGCAGCCTAACACTACTTAATTTCTACTTTTCTGATATTTCTTTATTCACTAGAATATAGAAGGGACCTGTATCCTCCTAACTGATTAAACCCTGATACTATGTTTGTGTTGGTTTATTACAAATACGCTGGTTCAAGACAAATGAGAGAACCAGTTTTCTAAAACCTCAGCTAACAAATTACTTGGATAATAGCCAAAATCCTGGAATCAGTCCCTAATTCTATTTCTTTCTCATCAAAACCATCTGGTTTATGTTAATCACAACCCGTATTGACTGTAGGATTTCGGACTCTTTCGGAGCAGTGTCCTAGATGATTAAATAGATGAATGCTGATAAGTAATAGTCAATACTGAATAAAAATCAATAGATCTGTCACTCGCAGCTGTTCCTAATGATAGGGAACAGACAGTATATATACAATGAACTATATCTTTTAGACACTTTAATTTTATTGAGCAAATTATTTTATAAGCTATCATTTGGGGGTTTCATTTTCTGTAACAAAAAGTAGTAGCGTATGGCATGGTATTTAATATCTGGCTGAGATTTAAAACTCACACTCCTTATGAAGTGTGACTTTTTATACTTGAAACCACAGGAAGAGTTTCCCACATTTAAGTGTAGAGGAAAATTCTTCAAATTAAATTTGAACTTTATACCTTTTAACTCTCATCCAATCCTCCTCCATGTGCTGGGTCTGATGAACATGCTGGTACTGTATCAAAGTCAAATAGACCTGGCTACTGTCAGATCCCCTTGCACTTAGCCTTGAACTAAGCATCAATCCTACTGTAGATCACGGGAGTTCAGGTTAGCCAGAAGCCACTCCTTCTCACGGACAACTAGCTTGAGGACTAAATAAACTGGTCACTACATATTGAACCTCTCTAATCTGGCACCCTCAGGACCTTACTGGTGCCATACCAGAGAATTTGCCGTGCCACAGGAGGTCAATATTGTCTAGCAGCACACTACACTGAGAGCCAGGACTGGTGGCTGTAAACAAACTTTATGGGACCACAGGAAACTTATTCAAAGCATAAGTGGACATCTGGCTAACTACAATCATGCCAGATCACAGAGGTTCCTGGACCAGAGTGTACTGGACTAGAGAGGTACAACCTGTACAGCTGCTTTGGCAGCACTATTGCATCCAGAGTCAAGGAACTAGACACCTGAACTCAAAGCCAATTGACACTGCTTAGACTTTAGTCCTCCAATGAACCCTTGCTCAGAGCTCATCCACTGACCCCAGTAGGGACCTATATAAGTGGTGGGGAAATGTGGCTGTCATGTCCTCAATTGCTGATTGAGATGCTTAAAAATGAGTATGAATACTTGTAGCATTTTTGAAATTAAGGGGAGGAAAATGTCTCAAAACTCTAAGCAGACTTCCTGACCACTATGAAATACATCCATTATCAGTATATTTCAGTTAGAATGAAGCTGGAAAAAACATTTATGAAAACGCCTTTGTTTTATATTGAAAAGGGGTTTCGTTTTCCATGAAAACCACCAGAACCACTTGTCTTAATATTTATTCTGGCATTGATGCAGAAGAAAAATCAGATACAAACAAAAAAGTTCCCTTGAAATATCTTCCTTCCCTGTATTTCTATAGTTTAGAAATTACGCCAGTCCCATGACTTTAGAAAGTTGCCTTGTCCAGTATACCATGCCATACCCACCTACCAGCCATGTCATACACATATGTTCCTCCAAAGGACAAAGAATGCCCTCAGGGTATCTCATTTCCTCCCCTTACACACACACACACACACACACACACACACACACACACACACACACACACACACACACACACACACACACACTTAGAAAACCTCCTCCAACGCTCTGACTCCTCACACACACCACTCCTTTCCTTTCTCACACCCCACCTTGCTCTCTCTCTCTCTCTCTCTCTCTCTCTCTCTCTCTCGCTCTCTCTCTCTCTCACACACACACACACACACACACACACACACACACACCTACCTTTCATGGACCACACTAATCTCCTCTCAGCTCGCCCCAGCTGCCTGCCCCAGCAGCAAACTCCGGGCTTCCCCAAAGGGCAAGGCTCTTTTGCAAAGGCTACCTGAGTGCATATGAACTGCAGCCCAGCATCCCCACCTCTCCCACGTACCATGCACCTCACGCCTCACCTCTGGAGTGATGACTGAACTGGTTTGCTGGGCTGAGGTGCAGAAATAACAGGGCCTGGCAGCCTCCTACTCCACCAGCTCTAGCCAGATACATGAGTCTGCAGAAGGGTTGCCAGCCATCCCATATGACCAGGGATGCCCCTGATTTAAATCCTAACTGAGTACAGGACACCCTTTATCCTCTATTTCAACTCATTGGAAGCGTTTTCCTCACACAAAGCCACTTTCATGGTGCGCTTTCCTCGCAGGGATCCAGTTCTGTGGGATCAGACAATGCGGCGATGCAGAATTTCTTGCCCCGATGTTCCCGAACTCTGGGGCCAGCACAAGGACGTGTGAAGGCTGGAGTGAGACGGGGGCTGTGTCCAGCTGGGAATGGGAAAGAGACATTACGCAGGGGGACGCGGCTCCCCTCCCCCGTTGGCTGGGACGTTGGCCCCAGAAGTATTCACCCCACTGCCAGACAGAGCCCCTCATCAGCTCCGCCTGGGAGGTGCTATGGGGCTGGACTCAGCAAGGGGGACCCCCCATCCAGGGGGTCAGTATTCACAAGTGCCTCTAGCCAGGCCCCTCCGGCCCCCAACAGCTGAGACTGCCTGATTGCTGCAGGGAGGGGAGTGTTTCTTCCAGTGAGGTCCTGGGCACCCCACGCCCGGTCCCCGTGGGCACAGGCACCCTGCCCCACAGGCGTGCCAGGAAAACAGCCCCGACTACAGTGTTCCTGGCAGGCCTGGCCTGCAGCACCAGGGCACACACGGCACAGGCGGCGGCGGCAGGCCCGTTGGCTTCCATAGCAACGGGGGGTGGGGGGGGGGCAGTGCTGGGAGGCTTGGTGTCCAGTTGCTAAGGGAAGGGAGGGAGGCTGACAACCGCCGTAACTAGGTGTGCGGGGCACAACAAGCAGCCTCCAGCAGACCTGGGCCGGATCGGCAAGGGGCCGTGGTGTGATGTCAGGCCTCGGCCGCAGCCTCAGGCTGGCCCCACAGAGGGGGTCTGGGGTCTCCCCCGTGGCTTCTGAGGCGGGTCCCTAGCGAGAGGTCCCGGCGCCAGCTTTTTTATTTTGTGTGTGGGGAGAGGAAACCCCTCCCGCCCCCACGCGCCCTGCTCCAGCAGTCAACCCAGCAGCAGGGTTTTGGAGGGCAAAGCCGTGAGGAAAAGCCCCGACAGCATGTCGCATTTGTAAGTAAACATCCCGCCTGGCCATCCGGGGAGCGTGCCGGGGACGGGTTGCTTGGAAAGGCAGCCCAAAGCCCGCTCGGGAAGTTCAGCGCAGGGCACAGCTCTGGGTGGGACGAGGCGTGTGTGTGTACATTTTGCATCTCCTGCGATGCACGGCGCCAGGAAAATGCGGGTGTCCCTCTCCAGGTTTCCTCTGTGGTTACTTTGCAGCAGTGCCGGTACAAGGAGCTAAGGCCAACATTGCCCCGTCGCTGTATTGGAAAGCTGGTCGACTTGCAAATCAGACTTAGGTCTTTTTTTAAACGTAGAGTTGTTAAAAGTAACACCGACAATAAACCTGAGAGGAATTAGAGAGGGGAAAAAATGCTGTTTTCCTCCCAGTTTGTTTACTTTCCTCACTTTGTGTCTAGTCAGCTTCACTGTTTGTCTTCTGTAATTAGTCACTTTCCTTTGCCTGGTTCTGCTCCTTATCCATCAGCAGCAGAGAGGAGAAACATCATTTTTAAAAATATAAACAAAAAAGGAGAATGAAAACGGAATTGTTTGCAAGCTGGCACACCTCTTTTTATTGTGTGTCGTCCTGCAAAAGCACTCCTGGCAGTATGTTTCATATTACCAGCTGAATTTTCAAGTGTGACTAGTGATTTCAGATGCCTGTTTTTAGCTGCCCAACTTGAAGGGGCCTGATTTACAGGGGTGCCTACCCTGGAAGCTGGGGATTGGCAGTCCAAGGAGAGGTAGTTGTGTTAGCTCCCCTGGGCTAGCATGCTAATAACACAGCAGTGGTTCTCAAACTGTGGGTCAAAATCCCAACCTGGACCACAACCCTGTTTTAATGGGGTCGCCGGGGACGGTGTTAGACTTGTTGGGCCCTGGGAATGGCTTTGGCTTTGGTCCCCAATTTGGTCTTGGGCCGGTTCAGGCTTCAGTCCCTCATCTTGGGGCTGTGTAGCAATTTGTGTTGTCAGAATTTTTGCTGCATTAATTATTGTGACGTCTGAGAACTGCGGTAACAGTGCATAGCCATGACAGCACAAGCTGCAGGAGGGGCTAGCTCCCATCAGACTGTTTAACATCTGTGACAGGCACACTCAGGACAGATACGCCTCCTGCCTGTATTGCCACAGCTACCTTTTGGTTTTAGTTCCCTACCTCTCATTAAGAACAACTGTAGCTTTTAAAATAATTAACAGCTATAGCAAAGAACTATGCCTGAACCCTTTTAGGACGTAATCTAAAGGCTCATCTTCACTGCAGTTATTTTGAATTATAACCCAGAAAACGTGCCCATCAGCTTCTCTTATTCCTTGTGAGGAGCAGGGGTACCGGCACCGACAGGGATGCCCTCTGAGTTTGATTTAGCAGATCTTCACTAGACCCACTAAATCAAACCCCAGAAGATTGACCACATAGTGGAGACACAGCCAGAAGGGAGTGCTTTACTTGAGACTCTTATCTTCCATTTTAAAAAAATATATGTTTCTAGTCCTGGTGGCGGCGGAGAATTGTGATTCCTGAATCACAATTGGAGATCCCAAAATGTATCATTTTTTAAGCTCATAATTTGAATGTCAATCTTATATTTAATTACTTGGGCTTGGCGATACTGACACATTCATATTAATGTATGATCACTTTGTACACTTTATAAACAGTTCGGTGACTTCTCTCTGTAGCATTTTCCAGGGCTATGGGCGAAGTCAGGAGAATCATTGGATGTGAGCATGCCTTATATTGCCCTAGGTTTAGCTTTTCGGCCCAGCACATCTGAACTGATCCTCAGTGGCTTAGTGTGGGATGCTTCTATATGGCAGTGGAAATGGATTGAATGGAACAGAGATCTATAGTGTAAATCGTATTTAAGTTAAAACTATTTTGAAAGGCACTTGACCTTGGTACTAGTGTTGTGGAAAGGCCTTAAATGTTGAAGAACCAGCATAAGCAAGGGTGGAGAATGTGGGTAGACCAATGTGCTGAGAAACACAAGTTGGACTAAGGCAGGGGTGGGCAGTAACTTTTGATGGGAGGCCACTCCAAGAATTTGGTAAGTGGTCAACGGCCGCACTCTTCTGTGATATTAATGGAGGAGATGCAGGGTCCGGAATGGGGGTTGGGTGCCAAAGGGATCTTGGGGTAAGGGAATGGGGTGCAGGAGGGGATGTGGAATCTGGGAGGAAGTTTAGGTGGAATGGGTTGTGCAGGGTCTGGGAGGGGTATGGGTGTAGGAGGGGAGTGCAGGGTCTGGCAGGGGGTTGAAACCTGGGGCAGGAGGGGGTGCAAGGTTTTGGGTTGTGACCAGGGGTAAGAGATTGAGATGTAAAGTCTAGGAGGGATGCAGAAGGGGGGTGCAGGGTCTGGGAAGGAGTACGGGTGCAGGAGCAGGAGTGCAAAGGGTTTGGATTATGTGGGGTAGGGATGCAAGAGGAAGGAAGGGAGGGGTGGGGGAGGTTGAGGTGCTTACGTGGGCATCTCCCAGCCAGAAGCCCAGCAGGTTCCTGCCTTCTATGCCCCCATATGTGCCCCGTACAGCTGGAGGGGCCATGTTTGCTGCTCTGAATGCTGTGAGCCTGGAGGAGGAAGCATTCTAACATCTATACCCTAAAACCCCTAGCATGATTGGATAATAGTTTTACCTTGCATTTTCATCATGCTCTCTGCTTCGATTTTGTGGTTGCCATATGTACGCTAGGGCCATATGTGTGTTAAGACTCAATGAGGAACCTGAGGTGTCTTGAATTAGTGAGATGACAGGGTCCCGGCTAAAGAAGCGTTTTGGCTAACTGCGGGTTGGCTTGTTTTATAAACACATGTAGGTGCTCCTTGAGCACTCGTAGCAAATGACTTTGTAGTCAGGTAGATTTCTTTCACGGAGGGTCAAGTATCTCCTATCAGCTAAAGTATTGACATGGCGGAGTTCATTCTGTTATCATGGAAACAGTCTTAGACTACATGAAGGAGGGCAATAAAAACTATCCTGTATCATCATTAGACCTACAGAATTTGGAACACTTGATAGGCTACATTTCGGAGCGAGTGACTGGGCTAAAGGCCTTGTCCTGTATCTGTTCTCTTCCTCTCCCCTCCCCAGCAATGGCAGTGCAGCTAGCAGTATAGTTGGACACTGCTTCCCCCTCCACTGGGGGAGAAGCTGTGTGTGCAAGGGGGCTAACGCTGTCATAAATTCCATCCCCGCACACAACACGGAGCGAAGGCACCTTGGAGCTGGTGCATTCAGTGGAGAACAGCTGCTCCCTAGCTCTGGACTCATTCTGGCTAGCCATACCCCATCCATCCATTCAACACGCATAACGCACAACAGGCTCTTGGATAGGGAACGTAAGAATGGTCAGACTGGGTCAAACCAAAGGTCCATCCAGCCCAGTATCCTGTCTGCTGACAATGGCCAATGCCAGATGCCCCAAAGGGAGTGAACCGAACAGGTAATGATCATGCGATCCCTCTCCTGCCATCCATCTCCACCCTCTGACAAACAGAGGCTAGGGACACCATTCCTTACCCATACTGGCTGTCATAAGTCCCCCCTTTTGTTTCGGGGTTCCCCTTACTAACGTTCAAGGGGGTATCATTTATTGCTGGTCGACTACCAATCGCCCTGGTGGCGGGGAAGAGGGTCCGGGCCCTCCCTCTCTCCGGGGGGCCCTGACACCAGGAGCTCGGAGCTCCTGATGGTAGCAGGTGGAGGCTTGCCCCTAAACTCGCCTGCTCTCGGGTTCCATGACCCGCCCTGGGTCATTACCTACCCCGCCGGTGGGTCTAATCATGGGCCCACGTCCCCCTTTGCACCGGGTAGGGGATTACCTCCTCGGCGCCCTCCTCCTCCGGATCTGCCTCCTCCCTCAGTGCCAACTCCCTACTCCTTTTATCCCCTGCCGCATCTGCTGGTCCATTCCCCCTTCGGGGTGTCCCGCCTCCCCCTGCTGTCGCGCCGCTGACATCAGTGGGTGTCCCGGTCGCACGGCAATGATCGTCTGCCTCCCTGTTTGCCCAACACACCGGCGCCGTCTGGGCTGCGCCTTCCGCCCCACTGCCGGCGTCCGCGCTGCCCGGCGCAAGTAAGTGATGGGGTTGCCTTACCCCGTCACACTGGCTAATAGCCAGTAATGGACTTAAAAGAGAACTAGATAAATTCATGGAGGTTGAGCCCTGTTATAGTCCTAGTCTTCATGTCCTCCTCAGGCAAGGAGTTCCACAGGTTGACTATGCTCTGTGTGAATGAGTAGCTACTTCTGGCTATGTGATGGGACGCAATACTACTGTCATACTGCAATGCTGTCTTTACACGCATCTCCAGCCAGAGACCACACAGGAACGTTCTTCTTATTTTGCCAGGGAAAACATGCATTTGTTCCCCTCCTTGCCTCAAAGCAGAGGGCATCCCATTGCCTTCCAGCTGGATAAGCTGCAGTGGTCAGAAAAAAAGGCTGTAAAATTCAATGCATGGTAATCTCTTCCCCGCCTAAATTACTTGAGTTTCTCTCCTTGCTGTGGTACTAAAATGCACCAGCACAATACCCTCTTTTGACCAAAGAAGTGTCTTTTCAATTCAGCCTAGTGAGTTTGAGCAAGAGCAGGTGCAGGGTTACAGCTGGTGTTTAGTGAAGCAGGCTTCCTTGCCTTTCTTGTGGTTTCCCATTCCGTTTGTGCCACACAGTCTTTTATCCTGCAGTCACTCTCTGTCATACGACTGCAGAATGAAAGCGGAGAAGGCAGAAGTGCCAGGCTGTTTGTGTTCACAACACCCTTGCCAGCGTGCTGGGTTTACTTTTTCCAGTAACTAGTGTCCACCAAGCTTTTTCCTCCTTTATTTTGTCCCTTTGCTGCTGCATCTGCAGAAAATCATTGAGTGGCTAGAAATCGTGAAGTTGTGTTGTTCCCCGACATGCGCCCTCATCCAGAGGCAGCTTGGGGAAAATATTAAAACCAACCTTAATTTTAGGGATGCAGGGAGCAGATTTAACCCAAAATTTTGTCCAAAACTG